TGCTGACACAGGAGGAGCTATTTTGATCATTCAGGACATTTCCTGATTATAAATAACTAAGTGTTAGCAGGTCTGGTTAGACACCACGTTGCTAAGATTTGTAGAGATGAATATGTTCCTGTGCCCTCTGTCAGAACAATATTGAACGTGATTAAAACACTAGGTGAGCTTACTCACATTCAAAGAGATCATTCCCACTCTAGTCAAGGGTCAAATCAGATTAATGAGATAGTTGATTCATTCAGAAAGACATATTACTACAGACTGAACATTAAGATTAAAAACCATAAAAGGGGTTTCTTCTAAAGATGAAGATAATATCTATACACGGTTTGTTTCAAAGAGGGGGGTTTATTTTAATCTCCAGAAACATGGCTGACCCAACAAACATAACTTCATCTTACAATCAGACCTGTGATCTGGCTGTCCCGTCAGTCAGCCCTGTCTTTATGGTTGCCTACAGTCTGGTGTTTCTGGTAAGTTTCAAAATTTAAGATTACGCTCTGTTTGAAATGTACTTATTACTGAAGTCCTGTTCTCTCAATCCCTTCTGTGTCCTCTTAAGGTGGGTTTGTTTCTCAATGGCATCATCGTGCGGTTTTACTGTTGTCGAGCTCGGCAGCAGACATCAAGCAGCTTGATGGTCTACCTGAAGAACCTGACAGCTGCTGACTTCCTGCTCTGCCTCTGTCTGCCACTCCGCATCACCAAGTACGCCACCAGCTCTCTCACCATTCGGAGGCTCTACTGTAGCTTTGGAACTTCTGCCTTCTTCCTCAACATGCAAGCCAGTATCCTATTCATGGGGTACATCGCTGCCAACAGGTAAGGAACTAATAATTTATCATTTATTGTAAAAGTGACGTCTGCACTGAGTGAGTTTGTCTACTGCCTCCTTTCTCTTCTCTCTACAGGTATCTGAAGGTTGTCCATTCTTCAGGGCCTCACTTACTCCAGACAGTACGAGCTGCATACATCATCTCCATGATCACCTGGGTTAGTGTCCTGGCTCCAATAATCACCTATACCATACTATTTTTCATTACTCAACAACCTCTGACCTCTGACCCTGGTTGCTGTGAAGTCCTCATTAGTGCATCAATTAGACCGATCTACAAAGTCTTCCAGGCCTCCTCTTTCATACTGTTCCTGTTGGTCCTCATATCCCTGGTCTTCTTCTACTACAGCACCTCCCGCAGGGTGTTACAGGAACAGAAGAAGCAGCTGGCCTCCCGCCACTCTGAGAAGCTTGTGAAGTCTCGCAGGAACATATTGGTGCTTGTCAGCATTTTCTGTGTTTGCTTCATCCCGTATTACTTGGTTCGGCTTCCCTTGGCATTTAAGTTGGGCGGCAGATCTGTGCGTCAGGTGTTCTACTATTTAATGGATGCAACCACACTACTGTCAGTTTTCAATGTCTGTTTGGACCCTCTTGTTTACTTTTTCCTTTGTAAGAGTGTCCGAGCTCAGGTGAATATGAAGATTCCATCCAAGAAGACCAAGAGCCGACAAACAAACAAGGGGAGTGAGTGGAGTGAGGAGCAGCAGACAGTTGTTACAACAGCAGCAAGTCAAACCAGTGAGCTGTAAGAAAAATGTAAACAGTTTAAAATATACAGATTTGCTTGAAACCAGGCCATGGATCCCAATTAAGTCTGTGAAGGTTCTCAGTCATCCAGGTCATCATAGTCTCCGAGAAGCTTCTTCAGTTCTAG